CTCGCGGCTGAGAGCTAAGTGTTCCCAGCGTGCATGTGCCCCCTCGGCATCCACCCCATCGAAGGACGCGTCGGCTGTCTCCGGTCCTGCCGCGTGGAGGAGGCCGCAGTGAGCGTGGGGGTGCATATCTCTGCGAATAAGCTTTCTTTCTTTTTTATTTTTAAATATATTTTATTGATTCTTTACAGAGAGGAAGGGAGAGGGATAGAGAGCCAGAAACATCGGTCAGCTGCCTCCTGCACACTCCCCACTGGGTATGTGCCTGCAACCAAGGTACATGCCCCGACCGGAATTGAACCCGGGACCCCTGAGTCTGCAGGCTGACGCTCTATCCACTGAGCCACACCGGTCAGGGCATGCGAATAAGCTTTCAAACGCCTCGGGGAGAAGCCCAGCTCACCATCCTGCTCTTTGCGGCGTTTTTCTTCGTGAGCGGCACTCTGGCCCTGCTCTTCCCCTGGCCGTGCTGTTGAAGATGCTCTGGCCAGTGGGCAGGGAGAAGGGGGCCTCCTGGGAGGGAGCTGCTCTGCTTGGGGTCCCCCAGGGGCCCCCCTTTCCCCACAAGAGGAAGACCTGTCTGTACGGGGTCTGTGACCCACACAGAGCTCCTGGGACAGGGGGGCCCTGGCGGCGAAGGGCTCACCGGGTGGCAGGTGGCCCAGTGTATTCTTCCTGGTCCGAGACCTTCCTGAGGCGGGGACACCACCCCGTCCCCCCGGGACACGCCCGGCAGCTTTGACTGACAGCTGGGCTCCCTCCACTTCCTTCTCTGCTTCTGCTGAACAAAAGCTCCCAACCCCTTGTTGTCTCAGGGCTTCGCTGCTAACCACAGGGTGCGAGGACGGGCCAGCCCGGGGGGCGTGGGACGGGGAACTCTCGCCCGCTCTCAGGACGACGTTCCCACTCCGAGCTGAGCTGTCCACGGCGGCTCAGGGTCTGCTGGCGGTACCCTCGTGCCTCGTGCTCACTCAGGCCTTGTTCCCAGTCCGGTCTCCCCACTCCTGGGTGCGGGTGACTCCTGTAGGGGTTACTGTCTCAAGAAAACTGCCCATGCCGTTGGATTAGGGTGTTTTCTGCAGGTTCCCATGGCAAGTGGCGTTAATACCTCCAAGGGGGATGGGAGAGATCTGTAATACTATCCACAATAAAAAATACTTAAAAAAATTAAATAAATACAAGAGCTACAAAAAACACCCAATAATTTTCCTCCATAAAAAAAATATATAGCCCAGCCAGTGTGACTCAGTGGTTGAGCGTCGACCTATGAACCAGGAGGTCAGGGTGTGATTCCCGGTCAGGGCACAGGCCCAGGTCGGGGGCTCGATCCCCAGTGTGGGGTGTGCAGGAGGCGGCTGATCCGTGATTCTCTGTCATCATTGATGTTTCTCTCTCTCCCTCTCCCTTCCTCTCTGAAATCAATATATTTAAAAGTGTTTACAAAATACCCAGGAGAGGGGCTGTGCACAGGCAGGGGGAGGTCAGGGCTGGTTTTGTGGGTTTGCGAGGTCCGTCCCAGCCCCGTGAGACCGCCAAGAGCAGGATCTGAAACCCGGTGAGATGTCAGGTGGCCTGGCCGGAGCCCCTGTCCTCGGGCCTGTGCCGTGGGAATAGTGTGAGGTCCAGACGTCAGAGCTGCTGCTTGCCCGGCCACGGCCTCGGCCTCCGTGGACTCACCGGCCTCCTCCCGCACCGTCTGCCCTCGCTGCCCTCGCTCTCCCAGGCGAGGGGCCAGTGTGTGGCCCTGCCAGGCCTGCCCAGACCAGAGAGGGGCCTTCCCTTTGGCACCGGGGCTGTTTGCCCAGCAGCCCACATCCTGCTGGGGCCGGGCCGCCTTCCCACGAGCTCACCGAGTCCTCGGGGGCAAAGATGGGGCCCCGCAGGCCGCGCGCCAGGAGGAAGTTGGAAGCGGGTCCCTCAGGTCCGCGCTGCGGCAGGGCAGGTGGGGAGCAGCCGATGATCTGAGTGGCATCGATCGCACACGCCCACATCGTCCCACAGCTCAGCCGGACCGTTACGCCTCCTCCCTGTTGATTTATGGCATCAATAGGAAGGTCATGCTGGGGACACGCCTCCTGGTTTTGCAGTCCCCAAAGCCTGGGCCTGCCCCTGTAATTACCCCAACTTGCCACTCTTGCCCTACTCCCTCTTAGTCCCCCCATCCTCTTCACCTTTTAGGATACAGCCTTGGCTTCCTCTGCGGCTGCTCAGCTCACGGGCAAACCCCACTCACGCGGATTCGGGAAGGAAGCGCTTTTCTGGTTGTTTCCGCCTGAGAAAGGCTGGGGTCGTGGTTAGACGAGGCCGGGGGCCGCTGGACAGAAAGGCTCCTGCAGCGAGGAAGGGGCGCCAGGCCTCCGCGTGGCCGTGGGGTGAGCCCGGACAGTGGGCGGGAAGCCGGCCCTGCATGGCCCTCAGCGGCGCTCGGCCGGCGGCTCTGGCTCTGTCACTCCTGTCATCTGGTGGCCCTGGCCAGGCAGCGGGGATGTGCGTGCACCACATGGGGCCACCAGCTGGCCGGCTGGGGACACCCTCCTTTCCTTCTTTTTTAAATAGAATAATTTTATTGATTTCAGAGAGAAAGGGAGGGAGGGAGAGAGAGAAACATCAATGATGAGAGAGAATCATGGATCGCTGCCTCCTGCACGTCCCTCTCTGGGGATGGAGCCCGCAACCCAGGCATGTGCCCTGACTGGGAATCGAAATGTGACCTCCTGGTTCCTAGGTGGATGCTCAACCCCTGAGCCACGCCAGCCAGACAGGAAACGTGCACGTTTTAAATGTTTCCTTTTTACTTAAAACATACAAACATGCTTTGACTCACCACTGCGCGGCTGGGGCTCCTGCCTCATGGGTCCCCTCTGCCGGGCTGCCCAGCGGCCTCTGATCTCCGTGAACACGGACCCTCCCTTCTCGCACCTCCAGGTGGTGCCTGGGCCGCAGGGGTCAGACCCCCACGCCCAGTGAGTTAATCACGCGACGGGCCCAGACAACCACCAGGTGCAGCCCCTCGCTGCTCCGCTTAGCGGGGGGCCCGACGGAAGGCCTGCTTTTAGGGGTTCTCATTCGGCCTTTTTTCTTTGTATTTTCAGTAACACCAGTAACAGAAGACATGACGGTGACCTCGTCTGGGGAGACGTCTGTGCCAACCGGTAACCCTAGACCTGGGGCGGAGCCACAGTAGGGACCGGAGCCACCCCAGGACGCGGGCTTAGGACGGCTGCGGAGTTCTGATGGTTTCAGATGTAGGATGGGAAGGACGGCCCTGCTGGGCCCCAGTCCCTTCCTCTAACGTGTCTCCATGCTAGTCTCTGCCCAGCCACCCTTTTCCCTGAGACCTCTGCCCCCTTGCCCTGGGCTGCCCACGGGCGTCCAGTCAGCGGGAAGGGGCAGGGGGGCAGAGCATGACCCTGGCTCCCTGAGTGTGATCACACCTTTTCTCTGCTTTCCTACGTTTCTTCACGGGTCTCCTGGGAACGGAGGACACCTCTGCCTCGGCTGGTAACGTCTCTCTATTTCCTCCTCCGTTTATTGCCCCCAGGCACCCGCCTGGGCAGGACAGGCCATAATTTCGACCAAATCGTTCAAAGGTCATGGAAATATATACCAGGGGGCAGAATAGGGAGGCGGTTCAGAGTGGCCGCCTGCGTCCAAGCCCTGCCTGGGCCCTCACTCGCCAGCTGGTCTCGGGTCCCTTCCCCAGCCTCCGTTTCCCCAGGGGCTGTTTTGAGGATGAACTGAGCGAATGCCCATAAAGCTCTCTCAGGCGATCTGAGGTTCCGTGTTAGGAAATGCTCAGAATCGCCTCCACGATTGCACCTTAAAAATCAGCGTCCTTGACGTCTGCCCCTCCCTCTCCCTTCCTCTCTGAAATCAATACAAATATATTTTTAAAAAAAATCAGTGCCCTGGCCCGGCCGGCGGGGCTCAGGGGTTGATCGTCAACCTATGAACCAGGAGGTCAGGGTTCAATTCCCGGCCAGGGCACAGGCCCGGGTTGCAGGCTCGATCCCCACTAGGGGGCGTGCAGGAGGCAGCCAATGGATGATGTTTCTCTCTCTCATCATTGCTGTCTCTCTCTCTCTCTTTGTCTCCCTTCCTCTCTCTGAAATCAATTTTTAAAAGTAGTTTAACATTTTTTTACACATTCACTTACGTCGCGGCCCGCCGAGTGGCGGCCCCCCAGCGGACTCTGCTCACATTCCACACTGCAGTGTGGACTCGCTGCCACGGGGAACCCTGGCCCCAGTGCGACCGCCCGTTTGCCCAGCCCCGGCCCTGAGCACAGAGCGCACCCCAGGATGGTGAACTGCAGCGTGAGGGCGCCTGGCGGAGAGACCCACTTACCCCACCTAAACGAAGGGAACATCCCACACCCAACCTGTTTGCTTTCATCTAGAACAGCGGTTCTCAACCTGTGGGTCGCGACCCCTTTGGGGGTCGAAGGACCCTTTCACAGGGTTTGCCTAAGACCATCGGAAAACAATCTATAATTACATATTGTTTTTGTGATTCATCACTATGCTTTGATTGTGGTCAATTTGTAACAATGAAATTGGGGGTCAGCACAACATGAGCAACTGTATTAAGGGGTCGCGGCATGAGGAAGGTTGAGAACCGCTGATCTAGAATCACAAAACCCTGAGCAAGGACGCTGGAGGCAACCCGACCCACGGTGGACCCGCTGCGCCCCCTGGCGGATTGTAAAGGGAAGCGCAGCCACTGCCTGGGGCTGTGGTTCCTTTGCAAAGGGAACCCTCCCTGCTAAGATGCCTTTGGTCTCTCTCCAGGGCCCTGGGCCATGCAGACGGAAGGCTATGACTACGGTGAGGCCTTTTCTATGGCTTTTACGGGGTTCCCAGGGGTGGTCCCCTGGCTGGGCCAGCCAGTTCTGCGCTGCAGCCATTGGTGGTGGAGGCTGGGTGGCCACTAAAACCTTGTGTGGAGCCCCTGGGCTGGGGAGGTGGGTGTGGGGTCCTCTTTCTGGGGAGCTCCCAGAGCCCATGGGCAGGTCCTTGGGGGGCTGAGAGCGGGCTCAGATGGAGAAGCTGCTGGGACAGCAGGGGAGGCAGGTCCCCAGAGAGGAGAGGAGGCAGTGAGCGAGGCGGGCGGTGCAGAGAGGGGAGGAGAATAGGGGGCGGGAGGCCAGTTCCAGCAAAGACCATGGCTGGGAGAGATAGAAGCATCAATGATGAGAGAGAATCACGGATTGGGCACCTCCTGCCCGCCCCACACTGGGGATCGAGCCCACAACCCGGGCCTGTGCCCTGACCATGAATCGAACCCTGACCTCCTGGTTCATAGGTCGACGCTCAACCACTGAGCCACCCTAGCCGAGCAGCTGTCCAGCTGCCCCCACGATGGCTGGTACCACCACGAGTGCGGACATAGGGAAGACTCCGGCGTCGTGTGCTCAGGTGGGGCCCCCTTCGCCTGGCCAGGCAACCCGACCGAGCTGCGGACAGCGCCCCCTGCTGGCCCTAACGCCACTCCCAGTCACATCTCCTTCCATGCTCTAGGGCAGGAAACATGGTCACTTTTCTTTTCTCATTTTAAAAAAATATATTTTTATTGATTTCAGAGAGGAAGGGAGAGGGAGAGAGAGAAACATCAGTGATGAGAGAGAAGCATAGATCGGCTGCTTCCTGCACGCCCCCCACTGGGGATCGAGCCCCCAACCCGGGTCTGTGCCTTGACCAGGAATCTAACCCGGGACCCTCCAATCCACAGGCCAGCGCTCTATCCACTGAGCCACACCGGCTAGTGCAGAGGGTGCATGTTCAGAAACGGCCCCTCCTCCTGGGGGCGAGGCCTCCCTCTCAGGAATATCTCGAGGGGTGCGGGTAGACACGTGCCGTCTGCGGGTGTCTGAGCGTAGGTCTGGGCACTTGGCACTCGAGTCCCGTGCTGTGACTGAGGGCGGGAGTCGGCGGGCTCTGTGGTGGATTCTGTGGAAGGAAGCACAGGAGGGGAGGGTGGTGATGGGCCAAGGGCCCCTGTGGCATCCGGGCATCGATTACCGGCTAGTGCAGAGGGTGCATGTTCAGAAACGGCCCCTCCTCCTGGGGGCGAGGCCTCCATCTCAGGAATATCTCGAGGGATGCGGGTAGACACGTGCCGTCTGCGGGTGTCTGAGCGTAGGTCTGGGCACTTGGCACTCGAGTCCCGTGCTGTGACTGAGGGCGGGAGTCGGCGGGCTCTGTGGTGGATTCTGTGGAAGGAAGCACAGGAGGGGAGGGTGGTGATGGGCCAAGGGCCCCTGTGGCATCCGGGCATCGATTGAGGGGCAGAGGGCGAGTTCCGCCTCACAAGGAAGGGGTGTAGCCTGGCTGCCGGTCTCCTGCCCGCACCTGCCTCAGAGCCCGGGCGGAGGGCCACCCTCCAGGAGGCCCCAGCACTGACCTGTTCCCTCTGCTCTGCAGCTTCTCTGCTTTCCACGGCGGAGACCCTGGCACCATCCACGGAAGGTACGCTTGTCACGTGCGATTTCTGTGCCCCCCCTCCAGCACCCTGACTGGGTAGAGGTGCAGGAGTGAGAGATGGGGTGCTCAGCGCTCAGGCCTCTGAGCAAGGCCTCGGGCTGCAGGGGTGTCCCCTCCCCGGAGCTCCAAGGTGGGGCTAGATGACCCACATTAAGGGGGTCCTGCCGCCCAGGCCCAGGGCCCACCCCGTGGCCCTCCAAGCCACGCTGGCCCCTGGCAGGGCTCAGGCACTGGGGTTCGGTCTGCGGGGCCCAGCGAGGCAGGTGCGCACCTCTGAGCAGCATCCTGGCCTGTGCCCTCTCTGAGCCCCCTTCAGGGCACCTCGGACCATCTGGGCACGGAAGGCCCTTGGTCCTCCCTCCCGTGGGGCAGAGTCCTGTGCCCCCTCCTCCACCCCTCGCCGGGATTCCGCCTCCAGCGACAGAGCTGGGGTGCAGGCCACACAGATCGGGTGCCCTGGGCTTTGGGAAGGAAAGTCACCGCCCTTTCTCCCTGGGAAACACTGGCCCTGAGACAGGAGAAGGACGGCTTCCAGGCCAAGGCCCTGGCCAGGACCCAGCAGGGACCAGGGGACCCGGGCATTTCTCTTTCTCGGGTCCTGGGTTCCCGTCCCCGAGTTCCACGGCGTCAGGCCTGGCTGGACCTTCCCTGTCCCGTCCCGCTGGTTAGGGACAGAGATGTCGCTGGAGCCGAGGCCGAGCCTGGCTTTATCCTCTGTGAACGTGTCCCCTCCCCGGACTCTCAGTGCAGCGGCGAGAGGAGGAGGACCCCTTGCAGAGAGGGAGGGAGCAGGGGGCGGTGGGGGATGGCAGGTGGCCAATGAATGGAAAGAGCCAATAAGGGCCTTGGGGATGGGGTATTATGACCCCATGGAAAAGTCTAGAAATGGGTATAAACTCTCAATGTCAGAATGGGTCAAGGCAGAAACATCAGTGTGCACAAAGGGTCAGAGGGCGTGGCTCTGGAAGGACTGCGAGGTGCGGGGCAGCCCTGCTGTGTCCCCCTCAAGCCATGTGCACGGCGTCACCTCTGTGTGTAGAAACTGAGGGTCACCAACCCGGGATCTGGGCCGGGCACGTGGGAGCTTGGTGTCCGACTGTCCCTTTCTTCCCACAGCTACTCAGGCCTCGACATCCTGGCCCGGTGAGTCCCAGCCAGCTCTCCTGGGATGTCCCTCTCTTCTGTACACCTGTGCCGGTCGGCCCTCTCCAGCTGGCCCATGGCTCTGTGAACCCCATCTGGATCACACTTTAGCCCTCTGTCTCTTTATCTATTAGGAGAAGGGGGATGCCAGAGGCTCTGTCTGTCCATCCTCCTTGTGAGTTCTCATCAGACACTTGGCAGCCATCCCGGGGGAGAGTGGCCGATGGTCAGAGAAGTGCCTCCCCCTCCATGAAGGCTGAGGAGGGCTTTGTGGAATAGTGGACACTGATGCCCACTGGCTTTCTGATGACGGGAGAGCAGGCTTCTGGGTTCTCTCCTCCTCTCACACCTGCCGCACCCTGACGGCCAGCATGGTCACCACATCCCAAGGTGGCAGAGACAGTGCCCGGGATGGCGGTGAACATGTGATGGGGGTCCTCTGGGTACCAGGACCTGTCCTTGCCTCCTGGTTCAGTCACCAGGCCCTGACTCTTTCTATCCAAGCTTCAGAGTCAGGCCAAAGCCTCAAGCCACCAGTGAGTGCCAGGCTCACGGGGGAGAGATGGGAAAGGTTGTCTGATGGGGAGGTACATGTTGGTTAGAGAAGTGGAGGGATGAGGCTGGTTTCTCCCAGACCTTCGAACACAATGACCCAGCCGAGCGGGAGGCTTTTGGACAGGCAGGGAGCACGTGCAGGAGGCACATGGGAAAGTCACGCTGACCGACCCACCCTTTTGGAACGACTCCGTTCCTAAGGCCTCACCACAACCATTCTCTTTGTTGTCCCTTCCAGACTCATGGACACCTCCTTCCACAACTGCCTCTACCCAACTAGCAACAGGTACGGGACCCGTCACCCTACCAGGGCCCTTCTCTGTCTCTGAATCACACCCTGATGGAACCTGAGAGGAAGAGGCTCCATGTGGGCCAACCCATCCTTCCCTGTAAGGGGGTGGAGCCAGAGGAGGGTCTCTGACCAGGTCTTTGTCTGGCATGGTTGGCCGATGACTTGTCTCCAGGGGGGTTCTGGGAGGAGGCTCAGCCAGGACCCTCCCCTTTGCTCAGTATCAGCCCTAGAGGCCTCCTGGCACCTGCTGAGACCCCTGTGCTGGCTCAGCCTCAGGGTGGGTGAGTCTCTATCCTCTCATGTCTGACAGAGGTCCTATCCTCTCTGAGGGCTTTGCCTCAAGTCAGGTAGGACCATGGAGAAGAAATAGGTGGCCAAGGAGGCCATGGCCTTGGCCTGTCCCGGAGCCATGGACCTCCACCCTGGGTGTCTCTCATGGATATGGAGGCAGTCCTCACCACATGGGCAATCCTGGGGCTCCATCCCTAGGACACCCTTAAACCTGGCTGGACAGGACGTCCTGAACCTTTCCCTGTGATGGAGATGAACCCCTGGGCATGTCCAAAGATGACCATCTGCCCTTGGGCGTGGCCATGAGGGAGGCCCTAAGTCTAGAGAACCTGCCTCAGGCCTGGATCTCAGCACAGACATGGGGG